CGATCGTGGTCCCTGGCTGCGCGGTCATTCGTACGGCCATCACAAATACTCCTTTTCGAGCGATTCGACATCCTCGCTTCCGCGGTCGACAACGGTGATGGTCTGCTGCTCAAGATCCTGACACAGTCACCTCATTGGGGGCTCTCGTCGTCGACTTGCACATCGTTACCGTCATCCATGCCGACACCGCACTCATTCTGGGAAAGCATACACGATGAATCATGGGACCGCGCTATCGTTGGTGTTGCCTCTTCTCAGTAATCTGAAACACATTACTCTGGTTGAACGTTCAAGGGTTTCTTGGAGCCGAGCGGGAAGATTCCGCGCGAGCCACGCGCACTGGGACACCATGGGCCGTCAGCTGAGAGCTGCGTTCACCGATGCCCTTGTCTCTTTGGAATCGATCCATATTGGGGGGCTCCGCATTCACTCTCCCAAAGCCCTCCTGTCCATTTTCTCCTGTGCAACTGGCCTAAAATCGTTGGCGCTTTCGAACATCCACTTTGATCAACCTGATCCTTAGCCCGAGGCGCAGCTCTGACGCCCACGGCTCACGCTAAGTACTCCGAGTTTCGGGTAAACGCGGAGATCCGTTGGGTGCTTGTTTCGCCAATCCCCAGATCGACTTGTCGCGCCTCGCGACACTCTCGATTGCGACGCATTTGCGAGACTGGAAGGACGTCACGCGAATTAGCTCGCTGACTTCCCTGGAGAGCATCGAGGACATAGCCACTAATGGTGGCTGCTGGTTGGTTCACGTTCATTCTCTTCACCAACTTACAGCGTTCTAAAAGGTTTTGACCCAGAGATATCATTCAAGTCCAATCGACGCACCATTCGCATCCGTGGGCCCGACATACACGACGCGATGCTGGAAATGTTCCAATGTCCGCCGGAATCTCTTCTCGAGTCGATAATCTTTGAAGGAGATCTCACGTGCGACTGGTCCCTGGACCCATTGTTCAACGATACGATACAGTCTCCTTTGTGTGACGAGTATGTGTGGGATTAGCGTCGGGTCAAAATAAAATAAAAGTCTTTTTGCGCATTCTCAAGGCTCTAAATTCTCCTTCTCTTCATCCCTGTTTGAGTTCCGTCGCGCGACCCTTTCGTTTACACAGGCGACTGATTGTCACACTGACGACGTCGGGCGGTTCCAGGCAAGGTTTAGTCTTTAGAATTAAAATCAGTGTGTACTACAAGTCAGTTCCTAGTTTCATTCCTCCTGGGACTGCAGACTATACACGTTGCTTAGGCATTTCCTCTGGGAATATTTATGTACAGTAAGAAAAGATGAGGAACGAGCTCATTGATCAATACGTCTTTCAATGACTGTTGACGCGTGTTTTGACTGTCGGAAAAACCCCAAAATGATTACATTGGATTGTAATTGATTAGGGGATTGGCGCGGATTACAACCTGTTGTAATCCACCCGGGGTGGATTACAATTGCTTGGGAGTCATTCTAAAGCAACCCCTGGCTTTTAATGGCTTGAATTTGCTTAGTGGCTTGCCATTGGCACCCTCCAGGTCCAGTGATTCCAGTTATTCAATGCTAATTTTTGGATCCATGGACCAGGCATGCTCCGACTCGGAACTCCTACACAACAGAGCATACATTGAGATTGCACAAATTCAACACAGTCAATGAACCCAAGGAAGCTATAATACATCCTTTCTGAGGAAGGAATAATCTTGGTAACAGAAAGTGGTGCTATGTTGAGTCTTGTTCCCATGTATGCGTGTGCTATAATAGTCTAATTAGTATTCATGGTTCTCCTTTAAATTGAGAGAACCGTGAGGTCAAGTGTTCAACTCCTGGTGTGAAAAGTCAGATAAAATAAGCAGAACATCCTTGTGAACTCACTGGTGATTCAACGTTGAACACTTCAAAATCACAACAACATTCAATCCCAATGCGGATGGCCACAAAGGCCTTCAAAAGCTTTTATTGTTCTCCAGCAAATGCATTACAATACATTACAAGTCAACAATCCCTTGTAATACACCCTGGGGATCCTAAGCGGTTACAATCCTAAAGTGATGCAATATAATCCACGGTTTCATTATGGGATTACAACGGCTTCTATACGATTAGATTCCTATCTAATCAATCTTCGATTTTTCCGACAACCTTCTTCTTTTCTCCCGCCATGTACCTCCACCCAGATTACAAGTATTACGAGTTGATGGCCAAGGTGTGACTTTCGGACCCGATGATACGACTGCGTATTTTGCACACGTGAAATCTGGCTATTTAGCTGTTTTGGTGCGCACACCAATGCCTCTGTCAGGTGGTATACAATAAGGGATAGGACTGAGCTCCGTGTCACTATTCGTGTATTAATGAGACAAGTACAAGTCGTCAGTACACTACGCTTGGCTATTCGTTCAAGTGGTCGGTTGTAGCGACTCCAATAGGCTGTTTGCGGGGACTACTACTTGTGGAGATACCATACCCAAGGAGATATACCAAGCCCAGGTGTATTCAGAAATGAGCTAGACTAGCTACAGAGCAAAGACGAAGGTTGCGCGGACGCGCAGTACTATTATGGCAAGGTTCGCGGAGTACCTCGCGGACCGGTATAAGTCCATATATATGTATACAAACAGAGTGGCTCGTGTAGGCAAGTTGGAGGAAATACTACCATTCGTTCCGGTATTGAAGAGACACCCAGAAAAGAGATGACAAGTGGGCGAGTCGAACTCGCGCAGGCACACTAGTATGATCGTGAACTGATCCGAGTACGATCATGATCATGGAAAGCGGCGGAGTCGTGGCAGACGATCAGAGCGATGATCACGTCTGACAGAATATGCCAGGAGTAAGCCTTGAATGACGAAGATGGCGGACCGAGGTTATTTATGGACCTGGGTCGAGGGCTATAGTCATAATGAGTGCTGGCTCAGCAAGAGAGTGTAATGAAATGACGGAATCAAAGTACCAGGCCAATCGGCTCGAATGCCAAGACGGCATGACCACCGATCAGACGGGCCAAGCAGCGACATAAGCAGCAGAACCACGCGAAGCGGTTCGAGGGGATATAATATAGGTGACAGGACACCTAGGGTTATAGGGAAAGTACGGAAATAGGGACGGCAGGCGCGTAATAGTAGTTATATCATCAGATCAGTAGGGAGTAGTATATAAGGCCTGTAGATCCCGCCCTTGCAGCATTGCATTGTACGCCTTCTTGCCTAGACATTGGGTCGAAGCTTGATCTGTGATTATAGTGCAGTCTTGTGACTTCCGCGGAGATTTGTTGTATCATTTCTCTTAGCTTAGACGCAATATCAAAGGTACCCGAGCTCTGGTTCAACTTGGGTCAGCTATAGTAACATACTTAAGGGGTAGTGGGTTGCCCTGTCACGACAAGACTTGTTTCACGTGTCCAACAGCGGTAAGATGCTGCGGATTGGGTAGTGCGCTACTAAAGCTCGTAAAATGAACTGAATAAAAGTCTAGGAGAGGGTACAGAATACGACGACTAGCTACTGCTTTTATACTATGAGGAATAGATCTACGATGCTACACTAATTGTCCTGGCTTCCGACATGCACTATTGTCCTGCACCTTTGTCGTGTCTACACCGTGTTCTTCATAGAAGCCTGTCATGATCTGACAGTTCACTGATCGAAAACTCCTTCCCTCATCCACGCTGTCGTTCATAATTATGAAACTGTTCCCACATCTTTAAATAATGTCTTCTTCGGCTACTTCCTCAATCCGATCGAGACGGGGTTCCCAGGACTTTAACGCTGTACGGCGCCAATGTTTATCTGGTTTATTTGGCGTTGTCACGTGCGCAAATAGGTCAGCGCGTGACAGTTGCCCTCTGTGCTATAGTTCCTCTTCGTGTTGTATCGAAGTTGTATTGGTGTTTGGATATTGTGTGTTTCGGTCAATAAAATATAAAACCTTTTAACATCGTAACCTTGTGTTCGTTGTGAGCAGTCTACAAACCAGTCAAGAGATTCCTCTTAGTTCAAAGACATTTGAACTTGGTGTGAAACCTCAAGAATCAACCTACAAGCTTCCGAGAACCAAACCGCGGAGTATCAGTCTTATCTGTATACTTCAGACGACCCCGAACTCAACCGTTAGGTGTCAGCGTGCTAGTCAAGGAATTGTGTTTGTGTTGTGTGTGTTGTGTGGTTAGTGTGTTGTGGAGTTGTATCGCTTCGCGGTCTACTTCTAGGACATTACCTACTCGAGCTATCTACTATACACTAGTGCGCGTGACGCTGCGTATCACCGATGCCGCCAAGGAGGTTATGCAGCTCACCGGTGGTCGCGGTGTGGATGCCACCATCGAAGCGGCCGGGGTGCCTGGTACTTTCGAGCTTTGCCAACAGATCGTTGCCGTGGGAGGGACAATCGCGAATGTGGGCGTCCATGGGTGCAAGGTCGACCTGCATCTGGATAAGCTGTGGCACAAGAATATTGGTGTGTTGACAATTGTTCGAATCCACCTGATGGTATGGACAGTTATTGCCACCAGCCTCATCGATGCCACTTCCACGAGTACACTTTTGAAGCTTCTGGACGCAGGAAAGATCAATCCTGGTGTGCTTTCTCACCCATTGGTTTGCCTTTGAGAAGATTTTGGATGCGTATGAGACGTTTGGGTCGGCGGCAAAGCACGGTGCTGTCATTCACTTTTGAATTTTCTCAAAAAGTGGGCAATTGAGTAGTTGTGTAAATTATTTCCTCAATTTGGGCTGGCCAACACATTCATAACTTATTGGATCAGTTGGCCGCGATGGCATCAGTCTCGGCTTTCCTGATTGGTCTTTCGTGACAGTGTGACAACTCCTCTTGCTCCAAACTCTCACCCCACTCAGCACTCACGGCGCAGATGCTGAGTACTACTCCCCACGCACGTCTCTCGCAGATCGACGAACAGATGATAGACAAACTCGAGGCCCAAATTCGCCTCCTGCGCTCTGAGCGCGTTGATAAGCATGTGATTTGTCCACGTGTGAAAGTCTCAAAAGAGTGGTCTCACTGGGACTCGAACCCAGATCACCCAATTCATGTGAGTTGCTCTAACCATTGAGCTACGTGACCGACGCCAGTTCATCAGCGTCACGGTGGCCAATGACTCGGCTGCACGCACGAAGTAACAAGAAGTTAGGCATCGCCAGGATGCGGATATTTTCTACAATGGAGACGAAGAGGATATCAACTCCGCGCTGGATACATTGGATAATTGGTGCGCACGGGGTCTTCAGGTGGACATCCGATCGACGGTCAAGTGGTGTACTGGGAGTGTGGTGAGCTCGGTCTGCTGTTTTTCTTGTTCCTAGCTTATGTAGGAGCTAGATTGAAGTGTCACGGCAAGACTTGTTTCACGCGTCCAACAGCGGTAAGATGCTGTGGATTGGGTAGTGCGCTACTAAAGCTCGTAAAATGAACTGAATAAAAGTCTAGGAGAGGGTACAGAATACGACGACTAGCTACTGCTTTTATACTATGAGGAATAGATCTACGATGCTACACTAATTGTCCTGGTGTCCAACATGCGCTATTGTCTCGCGCCTTTGTCTTCTCCTATTGTCGTGTCTCCACCGTGTCCTTCATAGAAGCCTGTCATGATCGGACAGTTCACTGATCGGAAACTCCTTCCCACATCCATGCTGTCGTTCATAAATATGAAACTATCCCACGTCTTTAAATAATGTCTTCCTCGGCTTCTTCCTCAATCCGATCGAGACGGGGTTCCCAGGACTTTAACGCTGTACGGCGCCAATGCTTATCTGGTTTATTTGGCGTTGTCACGTGCGCAAATAGGTCAGCGCGTGACATTACCCCCTCTCTAGGATCGACGTCCTCGTCGATGTCGACAAAATGATTTTCATCGTGAATAAATAATTTCTTCTTTAAATATGGTTGGGACTCCTCCTTTGGGACGAATCTCTTGCATTCGCCGTCCCAAAATCCAGCCGGGAGCGTAGGTAGCGCCCTGACGTCAATGCTGTGTTCCCTGTTATATTTATCCAACAGCTTCTTTGCATGTGTCAAGTTACGCGACGGTTCCCACGTTCTTTCTCCCATCGGATAATTCTTCCACTTTATTAAATATTGAAACCCGCGTCCCATCTTGCGGTGCTTCAGTATCTCCTCCACCTCGTACTCCTCTTCGCCGGATATGATTTTCGGCGGCGGCCGCTTCTCCCTTTGATTCTCGGGTGGTTCCGTATATGGTGTGAGAATCGCCTCGTTGAACACCGGATGTGACTTGTCCGTGCTCGGCAATTTCAACCTATAGGATGACGCTCCGACTTTCTCCAGGACCTCGTACGGCCCGAGCCTCCTATCTCCCAGCTTCTTTGAGGGTCTATCCGTCTGGATATTCGTCGCCTCAATCCAGACCTTGTCTCCCTTTTTAAATACCGGCGCTGGTCGCCGTCGTAGATTATATGTTTTTTCCATCGTTTTCTGTGTTTTTTCTAATGCCGCGGTCGCCTCATCGCGGATCTTTTTCATTTTCTTGCCGAACTCGTCGGCTGCCTCATTCCTCTTCTCCACGGCATTCTCGATCCCTTTCCAAGGGTGATAGCCGGTATTTAAATAGAACGGCGAGGCCTTCGTTGCTGAACTGGCCTTGTCGTTGTAACAGAACTCCGCTAGGGAGAGCCATTCGGCCCAGTCCGTCTGATGATAATTTATAAATATGCGGAGATATTTCTCGATCTCCTGGTTCATCCGTTCCGTCTGCCCGTCGTTTATTGGATGGTGCACTGTACTCGGGTTCATTTCGATCCCCAGGATCTTATTGAGCTCCCTCATAAAGCCTCCTACGTATCTCGGATCCCGATCCGAGATGATCTTTCGGGGTACCCCGTGATATCTAATCACTCGGTCGCGTGTCAAACGCGCAACTCCTTCAGCCGTGATCTCCATGGTCGTGGGCTCCACGTGAATCATCTTGCTGAAGGTGTCCACCCAGACTTGAATCGCATTGTGGCCGTTGCTAATCGGTAGCGGCCCAATCAAGTCCATCGAAATGATCTGCCAGGGACCTTCCGCAATCTTGTGCGGGTTCAGCTTGCCCTGCTTGTGCCGAAGAACCCGTGACCTCTGACACGCTTCGCACGACTTTACATACTCGGAAACATTGTTGCCGAGCTTCGGCCACCAGTAATTTCGTTCAACGAGTTCCTGGGTCCGGTTCCCTCCGGGGTGTCCCACGATCGCCGGATCGTGATGGAGTCCAATAATTTTATTTCTAAGTTCCGTGTTATGCGGAACGTAAATAAGGCCATTGTAGTAAACAATGCCGTCCTCCTCCTCCCATCTAGGGAGCTTCTTCAGTAAGGCAGACCTCACGCTGCCGTCCCGTTTGCGTTCTGCTCGGATCTCTTCCAAGAGATCCTTCTCGACGCCTTCGAGCGTTATCTCCTGCGCTCGGAAATACTCGGGCTTAAGTAAGACAATTTCCTGATTGTCTTCCTTTCCCTGATCATGATCCGCCCTGCGGGATAACAAATCGGCCTGCTTATTCAAAGCTCCGGGCCGGTGCCGTAACGAGAAGTCGTACTGCGACAACTCGATGATCCATCGTGCTTGCGGACGATTGATCTTCTGCGGCTTTTTGAAGTACTGGAGGTTCTTGTGATCCGTCAAAACCTCGAACGTGTGCCTTGCACCTAGTAGGAATTGCCTCCACTCATCAAGAGCGAGCATGATTGCGAGCATCTCCTTGTCATAGATCTCGTAATTCCTTTCGGTGTCGCTCATGCCGTGAGACATGAAAGCGACAGGCCTCCATACTCCTTCTTGGAGCTGGCTGAGCACTGCTCCAACCGCTCCATCCGACGCATCGGCCTCAAGCCGATATTCTCCATCATCCGTTGGCAGCGCCAAGATGACATCCTCCGCAATCCGTTCCTTCAACTTGTTGATCGCCTTCTCCTGTTCCGGTCCCCAGGACCACGCAATCTTCCCCGTCAGCTTAGTGAGGGGCCTGGCGATGTCGGCAAAGCCGCGAACAAATCGCCAATAAAAGTTAACGAAACCTAAGAACGCCTGCACTTGCTTGACGTTCTTTGGCATCGGCCACTCCATGATCCCTTTGATTTTCACCGGGTCCATCCGCATGGAGTTGTGATAAATAATAACCCCGAGGTATTCGATCTCCGTCTTCTCGAATTCACACTTCTCGGGTTTCAAGAATAATTTATTTTTCTCTAATGTCTCCAGGACACGTGAAACAATCCGTCTATGCTCCTCCAGGGAATCCGTGTAAATTAAAATGTCGTCTAGATATACAATCACATGGCCTTCGTTGATGAGATCTCGAAGAATGTCGTTCATCATCGTTTGGAACGTGGCCGGTGAATTGGTCAACCCAAAGAACATCACGAGCGGCTCGAACAATCCCCGATTGGTCCGAAAAGCCGCCTTCCACTCGTCTCCTTCCTTGATCCGCACGTTGTTGTAACCCCAACGTATGTCAAGCTTGGAGAAGAATCTAGCTCCTCGGAGTTTGTTGACCAGCTCCGAGATCAGAGGTAACGGGTACTTGTTCTTCACCGTCATCTCGTTGAGCTTCCGGTAATCCTGTACCGGTCGAAGGGACCCGTCCTTCTTTTTAATAAAAAAGAACGCCGAAGCCATCGGCGACTTGGAAGGTTGTCAGCACCTAGGGCTAAGCCGGGTTCTAGTCGGCAACGAACGAGGCGACCGAGCGAAGAGCAGCAGACAAGACTCAAGAGGTAGAGCAAGCCGTAGGGAGAATAGACTAGATTCGTCTACAGTACTGAGACTGTAGACGGGTATATATACTACATGATCGAATTAGGTACGAGGGGTAGGGGGTAGGAGCAGGGGCGATCGCGACACGTAGGGGTGTAAATGCAGGGGAGAGGGGAGTACCAAGTAGGGGTTGAGATAAGACCCGGCCGATCAGTGATGACCACTGATTAGAGCATTGATGGTTGATGATTGATCGGGTTACAACCCGTCGGGTTGTGGCCTGGGGTCATATCATGACAAAGGTCTGATCCGTCCACTCTTGAGATTCTCTTCAAGAAACTCATTCAGCTTTTCTTGTTCGCCTAACGAGAGTGGGTAGATCTTGCAATCGACAGCCTTTGATCCGGGCTTTAATTCGATCACATGATCCCAAGGCCGCTTTTCCGGCAATGAGTCAAAGGACTCTTTTGCGAAAACCTTGACGTACTCCCGGTATTGCTCCGGGATTTTGTCTTCCGTCAATTTTTCTTGTTCTGCCGAAGCCTGTTCGGCCATCTGCTGTGCCTGCGTTGCCTTGCTCCGCAGCTCCACAACAGGCGCAAAGTCGACCAACAGGATCGACTCGCCTTCTTCCACCGCTTCCTCCCATGTAACACCTTTTCCGGCTTCTAGTCCGGTCATGCCACACTCAACCGGACATCGGCTAAACTTCATGGTCTGGTCCCGCCAGTTGATCTCCGGGTTGTGTTTAAACAACCAGTCGTATCCAATAAACACACGTGCTTTGCCTAAGCCTGTGATCAGGAATTTTTGTCGTTCAACATGCGGGCCGATAGACATGATCATTTCCACATAGTGGGTGATCTTGCCTTTCGTGTTCTCGGTCCCGTCGGCATTCCTGGCCACAATCGGCATGTCGAGTTTTTTAAGCTTGAAGCCTTCGGCCTTGGCATAGTCCCTGTCCATGCACGTGGTGGTACACCCGTTGTCCAGCAACGCACGAATGGAACATGTTTTCTCCGTGTCCAGTGTTTCCAGCTGGACGGCCACCAACATCTCGTGGTGGACACGTTGCCGTTGGAACTCACGCAGCTCCTGAGCTAGGCAGTTGTTCCGTTTCCCCCATAGCATGGCGTGCAAGCCATTGTGCGGCCTCTTTCTTCTTAAGACCGAACGGCACCCGTGTATGTTTTGGCGCTACCTCCTCTTTCGAGGATTGAGCCTCCGCGGCATCGCCGCCCTTTTTCTTCTCACTATTTTTATCACTGGTTTGGGTGTCCAGGGGCCTTTTTAAAAGCGCTCCAGCGCTTGTTCTCTGCATCCATGCGTTGATTTTTTAAATTACGTTTTCGATTCTGGTTCTCCAAGAT